AGTGCCTCCTCAACCCCGTGAGTGCCTCCTCAACCCCGTGAGTGCCTCCTCAACCCCGTGAGTGCCTCCTCAACCCCGTGAGTGCCTCCTCAACCCCGTGAGTGCCTCCTCAACCCCGTGAGTGCCTCCTCAACCCCGTGAGTGCCTCCTCAACCCCGTGAGTGCCTCCTCAACCCCGTGAGTGCCTCCTCAACCCCGTGAGTGCCTCCTCAACCCCGTGAGTGCCTCCTCAACCCCGTGAGTGCCTCCTCAACCCCGTGAGTGCCTCCTCAACCCCGTGAGTGCCTCCTCAACCCCGTGAGTGCCTCCTCAACCCCGTGAGTGCCTCCTCAACCCCGTGAGTGCCTCCTCAACCCCGTGAGTGCCTCCTCAACCCCGTGAGTGCCTCCTCAACCCCGTGAGTGCCTCCTCAACCCCGTGAGTGCCTCCTCAACCCCGTGAGTGCCTCCTCAACCCCGTGAGTGCCTCCTCAACCCCGTGAGTGCCTCCTCAACCCCGTGAGTGCCTCCTCAACCCCGTGAGTGCCTCCTCAACCCCGTGAGTGCCTCCTCAACCCCGTGAGTGCCTCCTCAACCCCGTGAGTGCCTCCTCAACCCCGTGAGTGCCTCCTCAACCCCGTGAGTGCCTCCTCAACCCCGTGAGTGCCTCCTCAACCCCGTGAGTGCCTCCTCAACCCCGTGAGTGCCTCCTCAACCCGTGAGTGCCTCCTCAACCCCGTGAGTGCCTCCTCAACCCCGTGAGTGCCTCCTCAACCCCGTGAGTGCCTCCTCAACCCCGTGAGTGCCTCCTCAACCCCGTGAGTGCCTCCTCAACCCCGTGAGTGCCTCCTCAACCCCGTGAGTGCCTCCTCAACCCCGTGAGTGCCTCCTCAACCCCGTGAGTGCCTCCTCAACCCCGTGAGTGCCTCCTCAACCCCGTGAGTGCCTCCTCAACCCCGTGAGTGCCTCCTCAACCCCGTGAGTGCCTCCTCAACCCCGTGAGTGCCTCCTCAACCCCGTGAGTGCCTCCTCAACCCCGTGAGTGCCTCCTCAACCCCGTGAGTGCCTCCTCAACCCCGTGAGTGCCTCCTCAACCCCGTGAGTGCCTCCTCAACCCCGTGAGTGCCTCCTCAACCCCGTGAGTGCCTCCTCAACCCCGTGAGTGCCTCCTCAACCCCGTGAGTGCCTCCTCAACCCCGTGAGTGCCTCCTCAACCCCGTGAGTGCCTCCTCAACCCCGTGAGTGCCTCCTCAACCCCGTGAGTGCCTCCTCAACCCCGTGAGTGCCTCCTCAACCCCGTGAGTGCCTCCTCAACCCCGTGAGTGCCTCCTCAACCCCGTGAGTGCCTCCTCAACCCCGTGAGTGCCTCCTCAACCCCGTGAGTGCCTCCTCAACCCCGTGAGTGCCTCCTCAACCCCGTGAGTGCCTCCTCAACCCCGTGAGTGCCTCCTCAACCCCGTGAGTGCCTCCTCAACCCCGTGAGTGCCTCCTCAACCCCGTGAGTGCCTCCTCAACCCCGTGAGTGCCTCCTCAACCCCGTGAGTGCCTCCTCAACCCCGTGAGTGCCTCCTCAACCCCGTGAGTGCCTCCTCAACCCCGTGAGTGCCTCCTCAACCCCGTGAGTGCCTCCTCAACCCCGTGAGTGCCTCCTCAACCCCGTGAGTGCCTCCTCAACCCCGTGAGTGCCTCCTCAACCCCGTGAGTGCCTCCTCAACCCCGTGAGTGCCTCCTCAACCCCGTGAGTGCCTCCTCAACCCCGTGAGTGCCTCCTCAACCCCGTGAGTGCCTCCTCAACCCCGTGAGTGCCTCCTCAACCCCGTGAGTGCCTCCTCAACCCCGTGAGTGCCTCCTCAACCCCGTGAGTGCCTCCTCAACCCCGTGAGTGCCTCCTCAACCCCGTGAGTGCCTCCTCAACCCCGTGAGTGCCTCCTCAACCCCGTGAGTGCCTCCTCAACCCCGTGAGTGCCTCCTCAACCCCGTGAGTGCCTCCTCAACCCCGTGAGTGCCTCCTCAACCCCGTGAGTGCCTCCTCAACCCCGTGAGTGCCTCCTCAACCCCGTGAGTGCCTCCTCAACCCCGTGAGTGCCTCCTCAACCCCGTGAGTGCCTCCTCAACCCCGTGAGTGCCTCCTCAACCCCGTGAGTGCCTCCTCAACCCCGTGAGTGCCTCCTCAACCCCGTGAGTGCCTCCTCAACCCCGTGAGTGCCTCCTCAACCCCGTGAGTGCCTCCTCAACCCCGTGAGTGCCTCCTCAACCCCGTGAGTGCCTCCTCAACCCCGTGAGTGCCTCCTCAACCCCGTGAGTGCCTCCTCAACCCCGTGAGTGCCTCCTCAACCCCGTGAGTGCCTCCTCAACCCCGTGAGTGCCTCCTCAACCCCGTGAGTGCCTCCTCAACCCCGTGAGTGCCTCCTCAACCCCGTGAGTGCCTCCTCAACCCCGTGAGTGCCTCCTCAACCCCGTGAGTGCCTCCTCAACCCCGTGAGTGCCTCCTCAACCCCGTGAGTGCCTCCTCAACCCCGTGAGTGCCTCCTCAACCCCGTGAGTGCCTCCTCAACCCCGTGAGTGCCTCCTCAACCCCGTGAGTGCCTCCTCAACCCCGTGAGTGCCTCCTCAACCCCGTGAGTGCCCTCCTCAACCCCGTGAGTGCCTCCTCCTCAACCCCGTGAGTGCCTCCTCAACCCCGTGAGTGCCTCCTCAACCCCGTGAGTGCCTCCTCAACCCCGTGAGTGCCTCCTCAACCCCGTGAGTGCCTCCTCAACCCCGTGAGTGCCTCCTCAACCCCGTGAGTGCCTCCTCAACCCCGTGAGTGCCTCCTCAACCCCGTGAGTGCCTCCTCAACCCCGTGAGTGCCTCCTCAACCCCGTGAGTGCCTCCTCAACCCCGTGAGTGCCTCCTCAACCCCGTGAGTGCCTCCTCAACCCCGTGAGTGCCTCCTCAACCCCGTGAGTGCCTCCTCAACCCCGTGAGTGCCTCCTCAACCCCGTGAGTGCCTCCTCAACCCCGTGAGTGCCTCCTCAACCCCGTGAGTGCCTCCTCAACCCCGTGAGTGCCTCCTCAACCCCGTGAGTGCCTCCTCAACCCCGTGAGTGCCTCCTCAACCCCGTGAGTGCCTCCTCAACCCCGTGAGTGCCTCCTCAACCCCGTGAGTGCCTCCTCAACCCCGTGAGTGCCTCCTCAACCCCGTGAGTGCCTCCTCAACCCCGTGAGTGCCTCCTCAACCCCGTGAGTGCCTCCTCAACCCCGTGAGTGCCTCCTCAACCCCGTGAGTGCCTCCTCAACCCCGTGAGTGCCTCCTCAACCCCGTGAGTGCCTCCTCAACCCCGTGAGTGCCTCCTCAACCCCGTGAGTGCCTCCTCAACCCCGTGAGTGCCTCCTCCTCAACCCCGTGAGTGCCTCCTCAACCCCGTGAGTGCCTCCTCCTCAACCCCGTGAGTGCCTCCTCAACCCCGTGAGTGCCTCCTCAACCCCGTGAGTGCCTCCTCAACCCCGTGAGTGCCTCCTCAACCCCGTGAGTGCCTCCTCAACCCCGTGAGTGCCTCCTCAACCCCGTGAGTGCCTCCTCAACCCCGTGAGTGCCTCCTCAACCCCGTGAGTGCCTCCTCAACCCCGTGAGTGCCTCCTCAACCCCGTGAGTGCCTCCTCAACCCCGTGAGTGCCTCCTCAACCCCGTGAGTGCCTCCTCAACCCCGTGAGTGCCTCCTCAACCCCGTGAGTGCCTCCTCAACCCCGTGAGTGCCTCCTCAACCCCGTGAGTGCCTCCTCAACCCCGTGAGTGCCTCCTCAACCCCGTGAGTGCCTCCTCAACCCCGTGAGTGCCTCCTCAACCCCGTGAGTGCCTCCTCAACCCCGTGAGTGCCTCCTCAACCCCGTGAGTGCCTCCTCAACCCCGTGAGTGCCTCCTCAACCCCGTGAGTGCCTCCTCAACCCCGTGAGTGCCTCCTCAACCCCGTGAGTGCCTCCTCAACCCCGTGAGTGCCTCCTCAACCCCGTGAGTGCCTCCTCAACCCCGTGAGTGCCTCCTCAACCCCGTGAGTGCCTCCTCAACCCCGTGAGTGCCTCCTCAACCCCGTGAGTGCCTCCTCAACCCCGTGAGTGCCTCCTCAACCCCGTGAGTGCCTCCTCAACCCCGTGAGTGCCTCCTCAACCCCGTGAGTGCCTCCTCAACCCCGTGAGTGCCTCCTCAACCCCGTGAGTGCCTCCTCAACCCCGTGAGTGCCTCCTCAACCCCGTGAGTGCCTCCTCAACCCCGTGAGTGCCTCCTCAACCCCGTGAATTGCACCCATGAAGTAATTGATTCGTCGTTCACTCCCACCCCTGACTGCATTCATTCCTGCCACGTGCCGCGCCCAAGTGGAGGCAGACACTTTCCGTTCCTCCCCCTTTCCTGCCCGCCTGTCTTCCTGTGACCAAGTCTTTCTCTCCTCCTGACCATGGATCTGTGCTCATGAAGAAGGGCAGCAGTAGGCAAGGTCGCCTTTAGCAAAGGGATGATAGTCAACCAGTGAAAAAAGTAACCCTGGAAAAATTGATTAAGATCCGAACGTACAACTCAGTTCAAACTCTAGACGAAAGCAAACATGTTTCGGCTTTGCACGGGGATCATACCCGCTAGGCCTTCATCAGTGCAAGAGTTCAAAGTGAAAGAGCGAACAAGCAAGGGGTCTTAAAGAACACCCAAGCCTCGAGATCTACACAGGGAAATCCTACCCCGGGCGCGTAACTAGATAAGAAATGCGCCAACTAGACACAAAAGAAAATTCCTAGGTGTCCAGTCACTCTTCGGGTTTGTCTTCGGCAGTCTTGGAATTGGGTGGTGGTAACCTCGCGCGAACCAGGCACTGTTGCACGTTACGTGCACACTTCCAAGCAACAAGAATTCGATCAATATAAAAATTGCGGGTAGAGAGACGACTTTTGAGGCGCCTCTAAAGACTTCCTGTGACCAAGTCTTTCTCTCCTCCTGACCATCCCGCTCCTGCCTCCCCACCCTGCCCTTCCCCTGCTGCGCGTGCCCCGGTGCAGAAGCTCAAGTGTCCGGGAGTGTACAAGGCGGGCACGACCATCACAGTGCGCCCTGCCAGCAGCAACGCCTCCCCCAGCTCCATCACCGGCTGCACCGTGCCGCTCACCATCTCCCAGGTGCGTGCTGCTGTGCTGCTGTGCACTGTGCACTGTGCACTGCCCGCTGCACGCAGCATGCTGTGCTCACTGCCCGCTGTGCACTGCTTCTTCCCACCACGCCTCCTGCCCTTTCCTCCCTCTTCCACTGCCGTGCATCCTTGCGTTTCTGCCTTTTTTCCTGCCTATCCCCCTTCCCCTCCTTCCCCCCCACACCATCCATCTTCCCGCTCCTGGTTGACAGGTGGAATAAATACACAGGCGGGATCAATTTCAAAGGGCTGCTTTTATACTCTCTGCTTTTAGAGGAATATATCTTTCCTTTCCCATTGCACTACTCTCCGCCTTGCTGTCTTTCCCCTTCCCTCCATTCCACTCACTCCCTCCCGCTCCACACCCTGCCTTCCCCTCTCTATCTCCCCTTCTGCGCCTGCCAATGGCAGGGCGACACGTGTGAGTGGGTGCTGAGCATGTTTGGGATCACAGCAGCGGACCTGGCAGCACTGAACCCAGACCTCAACTGCACGCAGCTCGTGCCCGGCCAACAGGTGATGCTCTCCCCCCATCTCCCTCATCCCATTCCGCCACTCCCATCCCCCACTCCCCTCCCCCACTCCCCTCCCCCACTCCCCTCCCCCACTCCCCTCCCCCACTCCCCCCCTTCCCCCAAACACTCCCCACACCCACTCTCCTTTCCTGCCGCCTATTCACCCCGCCGTGCTTTTTCCATTTTTGCACCACTGCTGCACTTTCTTTTGTTCTCGCACATAACTTCCGCCTCTCACGTCCCCATGCCATGCCACCTCCCTTCTTGATTACTGCACGCCCGCCGCCTGCGATCCCCTCCCCCCTCCTCACCCCTCACTCCCTCTAACTCCCTCCCTCTCCCCCTCTCCCCCCCCCCCTCTACCGTTCTCCCTTCCCTTACCCCCCACCTCTCTCTCTCTCTCTCTCTCTCTCTCTCTCTCTCTCTCTCTCTCTCTCTCTCTCTCTCTCTCTCTCTCTCTCTCTCTCTCTCTCTCTCTCTCTCTCTCTCTCCACCAGCTGTGCATGGATCAGGGCACACCGCTGCCGCTGTCCTGCACGAGCTACTACACGGTCAATCCGGGGGAGACATGCAACGACGTGATGGTCAAGGCGCAACCGCCGCTCACAGCGCTGCAGCTCTACTCCTACAACCCCGGAATCATCTGCTCCGCTGACTCCTCCCAGCGCCTTGTCGGTCAGCAGGTATGCAACGCTCAGTTCACTCCGCCTGCCCTACCCTGCCTCGCCCCTCCCCTGCCTGTATGGTGATATGCGGTGCAGTGCGGTGCTGCACTGTGCTGTCCTGTCCGCTGCGGTGTTGTGCGGTGCGGTGCGGTGTTGTGTGCATAGTGGGCCCAGGGCATATGCATGAGGTGGACATGGGGTGCTGGTTTGCTTGCTACACCCAAAGTGTTCCTGGTCAATTCTGCTGACGTTTATTGACTTGATAACACCCAGGAAGTGTGTTTAGTAACAAGCAAGCACGTCACACAGCAGATGCTCTCTCTTTCTCTTGAACAAACCCTTTTCTCTCCACTCATCAACCTCCCTTTACCATCCCCCCTGCACCCTCCCCCGGTTACAGCTCTGCGTGGGCAGCCTACCGCTCATAGGAGCAAGCTGTTACTATGGCACATACACAGTGGTCCGCGGAGACACGTGTGCCACGGTGGTGTGCAAGATATTCAAGTGCTCCTACACCCTCATGTACACATACAACGTGGGCTTCAAATGCTCTACCAGCACGCTTTGGGTGGGCAGAGTACTCTGCAAGCCCAAACCGTAGCTCGTGGTGTCGGGTGAGGGAGGTGAGCCTGGCTCACCTTAGCTCACATGCACTGGGGGTTGAGTGCCGGTGACAGTTCCAGCAGCACGTGTAATTTTAAGTTTTTTTTTTGCTGATTTGTTTTTATTTATAGATAGGTTGATAGTGCATTCAATTCCATTTTATTCCTTCAATCTTTGCATGCAGTAATGACCTGGTTCATGTTATAGCATAATGGCATGTTTTTTATGTGTATAACTGTTATGAAAGCTAATGGGTGGTCACTTGAAATATCCACATTTGAGGCAATGAGAGAGTACTGTACCATGCCTCATGTCAGTTTTTGTGTTAACCGTTTGATACCGCCACGAAACGACCTAGACCGCAGAAAACGTTCAGGAGATCGGACCTTCTGGTGACCTGTCTGTACTGATGAAATGCTCCTACGGTATGTACCGTATGCTGGCAACATGCACGCTCCTAGGGTGAGTTCTGTCACGGGTTTGAGTGAGGGAGGGTGGGGGATGATACCGTCACACCCCGGATACACCCCCATGGGGGGCAATGATAAAACATGTTTTTCTAGGGGGGTGGGCTTATAGTCGAGTAAATTTATAAGCGCAGGCGCTTATAAAATGACATATATATATATATATATATATGTTCTATATTTTCTACCACCAGACTGTATATCTCGTGCTTGCCTTTTCAATCGAGTCGAAGTTACATGGGGTCGTCAGTGAAATTCTCGCGCGCGCTGGACGATAAAATCAATCTGACTCACATCCAGCTCCTGACAGCTCCTACTGACTGGACTCGCATCTAGTGCAGGTTCCGAATGTGAAGGGAACCGAATCTGCAACATATTCGCCTGCTAAAGTAAAAATCGTTACGGCGTTTTGAACACATTTCAAATTTTATAAGTTTACGTGCGTTTATAATAAAACAAGTTTTTTCAGGGGGTGCGCTTATAATCGAGGAGCGGATATAAGCGCCATATGCCAATTACAAGCGCCTGGCGCTTATCCCAGGGTGGCGCTTATATCCGGGGTATGACGGTGTGTCAAGAGTCACGTAGAAGGGCAGTGTAGCAAGGTTCACTGTTATTAACCCTATCTGGTAAGAACTGCGCTGATCTTGGAGCATTTGTCAGAGTCACATGTGCAACATGATAGCAAAGGTGGTAACTGTCAGAACTTAGGCTTAGAAGCGATGCATTAGTAATGAGCTTGAAGCTCTTTAAGTACATCCAAGAAGGGTAGGGAATGGATGGGAAGGGAATCGGGGGCAATCCCTAGGGATTGGGGGTAATCCCAAGGCAATCTCCAATTGGTGGGTTGGAGATTGCTTGGAGATTACATTTGGGTTTGGTTGGGATGTAGGTGTACACCCAACCAAACACAAAGTGCAAACTATACTACTCTAGGATATAGAAAATACAAAGTACAATGTGTGAGATTGAAGGCTAACACTAACAGTAACATCGGTGTTTCTTCTTGTGTGTGGTTTATTATACCCTGCTGCCACAAATCGAAGGACCAGATTACAGTCGGGTGCTTTGTACATGGGAGGTAAATATAGACAAGGAGGCAAACCACATAGGAAGGTGGTTGATGGTTAACCCATACGTAACTTAACTGCTCCACACCTAGTGATCCACCCATGGACCCTGATGCTACAAATCACATACCAAGGATTCCCAATGGGATGTGCGACATGCAATCACATGCTTTAGGGCACAACAGAGCAAGCGGGAAGGGATGGGGTGAGAAGCTCACAAGCTCGGGAGCTGGCGCCTCACTTGATTACCACACCATCCTCAGAGCACGGCTTCACAGGTTCGCCGCACAACAAGTCATTCCTGGGCAGGAACGAAGAGTCAGGGTAACTTGCCATGGCGTCAGGAATGGTCCCATCCAGCTGGTTCCCTGCAAGGTACACCTCTTGTAACGCCTCTGAGAGGCCAAGGTTAGCGGGAATGGACCCTTGCAGCTTGTTCCACGAAAGGTCCAGCACGCGCAGGCTTTGCAGATTCGCGATTCCCTCGGGAATGGTGTCGTTCAGGGCGTTGTGCGAGAGCGAGAGGTGGGTCAGGAACGAGAGCTGCGAGAGGATGGTGGGGATGGCGCCTGACAGCTGGTTGAACGACAGGTCCATGCGCTCCGCCATACCCGCACACGAGTCCATGCTGGGAAGCTCCTCACTGAATCCGTTGTTCACCAGGAGCAACTCCTCAGGACACTTTTTGATCGGAGGGAACTTGCCTGGCGGTTGGCAGTAGAGAGGGGGAAGGGGGTGAGGAAGAGAGGGGGCGTGAGCGGGTGGATTGGGAGGAAAATGGAGGCATAATTCGTGATGAGTGAATGGCATTAAGGGTAGAAAGCGGGGTGGCACAAGGCACTCACGCCCCCATACTCCGACACGTAATATCACAAGTCACGCACTCACCCGACAACCTGTTGCTGCTCAGGTCCAGCTTCAAAAGCCCCGTGCTCGCCGTCGCGGCCTCCATCCCAAAGTAGTAAAGGCGAACCTGCATACTATGTACTATAAACGTGCTGTGTACTTACTAAGTAGCTACTCCACTCCTGAGGGGTATGTACGCACATGTGCTACTACATACAAACTACTACTCACCGCAGAGTGCAGTAGGTACAATGTAGCAACCCTGCTGGTACTCCATGAGGGTTGGGAGTCCCCACACTGTAATTGCTGTGTCGCAACAATATCCATCGAAGTGCGCTGGGTGTGCGGTACGGAGATTCTCGAGCGAGGGCATGGCGAAAAGATTCTCGGGAATGGACCCTTCAAAGTGGAAGTTGTGGCTGAGGCGCAGTTCTGTAAGTTACGTTAGCGTGGTGAGCAGCGTGGGAATTTCATTGGTGAAGCGGTTGCACGACAGGTCGAGAGTTATGAGATTTTGGAGTTTCGCAATCTGCATGATGACGGGCTCCAGCGGGCCTGCGAGATTGGGCTTCAGCAGCCAGGCGCACGGCGATATAGCAAGCGTCGAAACGAACCCGGCGTCGTCGCAACACACGCCCCACCACGTCCCGCCGCATAAGGGTGTTTCGAGTTTCCACGAGGTGAGGAAAGTTGCTCCCAAGAAGCTCTTCAGCTCCAGGAGAACCACCGCGTCGGGATGCGGATCTATGGCGGAGAGCATGCGGATGGAGAGAAGGAACGTGAAGAGCACCGCTTGTCAGAATGTGATGTTTCTCTAGCCTCTACTTGGGTACTCTATAGCGAGTACAACCCAATTAGGGTTTCCTATATGTATCTCAACTGCTGCTAGTGAAGACCTCCTCTTTCCTGTTTCTGATTCTTGCCTAGTGTTTCGACATGCTATCAGTGCACGTCGACCCTCCTGGGTCGATCCTGTGGGTGGGCCCCACCCGATGCTTCCGCTGCTCTACTGCCTGTAGCGCGCCCCGGGCGCGCACAGTTTTTCTTCCTGCCGTGCGCTCGGAGCGCGCAACGTTTTAGCGCGCGGCGGTTTTCTGCCCTGCCCGCCGCGCGCCCGGGGAGCGCGCAGCGGTTTCTTGCCCCGGTGACCAGCGCGTCGCCCCCCGTCGCCCGATGCGGCCTGCGCGACCTGTGCCAGGCCCGCGCGCGGCCCGAACGGGCTGCGCCAGGCCCGCGCGCGACCCGTATGGGCTGCGCCAGGCCCGCGCGCGGCCCGTACGGGCTGCACCAGGCCCGTGCGCGGCCCGGGCAGCCCGTGCGCGGCTCGTCCCGAGCTTCTGCCAGCAGCGGACAGCGTCGGGATGCCGTCATAGCGATCATTGTTTACTAGTCTCTGAGCAGCGCGCACGTTGATGTCGCGAGCTGTCTCTCCAATGATGATTGGCAGGGGTGATTGTGGCCGGTGAGTTGATCACTGGCCAATCGTTGGGTTGGACGGCTCATTGAAATAATTAATTCGAGTGCGGATAAGCAGAGACTAATTTGTGTTTAGAAGAGCCAGTGGAGATCGCATTCTGTGCAATAATTGTGTGATACTATGATTACAAGAAAGTAGTTTCTAGGTTTGTGTGTGAAGTCGATTGTCGAAATTAGCAGGGATGTTGTTAGAATCTAGATGTGAACAAGAATGATTGCATTGAGCAGCATGAGGAGTACAAGTGGGAAACCCTAAAGTGTTGTACCCCATATGAGCTACCCCACTACAGCCTATACAGACTATAGCATATGAGTTTGACACACCCCCATAGGCAAAGTGGGGGAGAGCAAGAGGTCACAAGACCAGTCAAGAGAAGCAAGGCAAGCTCAGGGTGGATCACAACGTCACCACACAATCTGAGCACAAGCACAAGGCCACAAGGCCAGTTCACATGCAGAGTTATATATCAAGATGAACAAACAAGGCAGTGATCTCAACCTAGCAAGGGTAAGCATGCAAGTGTAGGTATATATAGGTCACAGTACAAACAAGGTC